ATTCGATCTTACGACTGCTTGGTCTTCTGACCCTGCAGCACAGGCTTCTGCAGTTTAGCCCACAGCCCCACCACGTCCCTGATCACGACTGTAGTTTCTCAAAATATGTTCAGTTTATTTAAGAGTCTGTACCCAATTAGGAGGGTTTTCTCTACAATTTCTATGCATATAAACAGATCTTACGAAGCACGTGTTCACTGTAATATAAAGTAACAGAAGTGGACTTCTAAACCCGGGTGGAAGTGACACCTTTGAACCCATGCAATATTTCACCATTGCTTGGTGACTAAAATTACCTACGCAACAGGGCTGTTAAATGAAGGAGCAGAGTGGATAGGAATGAATTAAATGTCATCGTGCTGTACAAAAATTGTCAGAAGAATTATTGTTCCTTAAATGCACGTGAGCAATCTTGCCTGCGATTTGAGCAAATAATATCCTTCTGATAAAACTTAGGGCAATTTATTAAAATTATAGAATAGTCAGAAGCAGTAACATCCTGGGGACTTACTAGAACTGTGAGCCTCTGTGTGTAGGTTGGCACAATTAAGATGGTCCACCCTAGGAGACCTACGAATCAAAATGGATTCCTGAGGAATTTCTGTGGAATTTCCTGCTGTTTTGACAGGTGATTCTGCTGAGGCCTTGGCTGGTTTCTGGAACAGAAGGATGGGCAGGGTGGAAGACGTGATTACTCCTAAGCATCCTCCCCCACAGAGTTGACCCAGACTAGCTACTTGGTTTACTCATAGAGATCTGAGGCTGATGATCTGTGTGTAGGGGAGAGAATGACAGAGAGAAATAGAGAGAGAGCACAACAATGGTAGTCTATACTGTATATATCCCTCACCATCACTGGAACATGACAGATAAGAAGTATTATAAAAGTTCTCTTTCTGGCTCATTATTATTACGTCTGTTCCTCACAACAATCTCTTGGAGTGACTTAGGTTGTGAGAATTACCTCTGCCATATGACTTTACAGTACCTCAAATGGGCAAGGAATTCAGTCCAGCACTTCTTGAAATGCTACATTTGGTTTTGCTATTGTTAAATGTCATCAAGTCACTTCTGCCTAATGGTGACACTAATTGGGAGTTTCAAAGTGTGTGGGATGTTCAAGTAGTAGTTTAATGTTGCTAGTCCCCAGTGAGTTTCAGTGACTAAGTAGGGATTTGAAGCCGGGTCTCCAGAATCCTAGTTCTGCACTCTACACTACATTGACTCTAACATACCAAAGACTTGTTGCAAAAGTCCTGGAAGATATTATGGACAAGGACTCTGTGACCTGAATCTCAGCATCTGCGGTTGGTGCCATAGTCTAGAGAGGAGACGTGCTCTCTGTGCTCAGGCCTCAGGTGCTGAGATGTTAAAGAAAATGGTCTGTGATGGGAGACGGCCTTTTCTCTGTCTTGAGAGCAAGAGAGCTAGCTCAAACAGGAAGACCTTCTTTCCTATCTGGAAAAAAAAAATTCCAGAGGCTTGCTTGGTTTGGGTGGAGTCAGTTCTGGTTCTGACGATGTCAAACGGCTCAGTAACTCGCCATGTTGGGCAATCAACACTGATTCAAAGGCCCCAGTTCAAGCCCTTCCTGAAAGAAAGGCAGTGTTTCCTTTATGATGAAATGCTCAGTGTTCTGAAAGAATTCCCTGGCAGAAACTCATAGATTTCTTAGTAAATAATCAGTAAATGGAAAACTCCCTTACCCTCGCCATAGAATGTTTTAAAAAGCACTGCTATAGTGAATTAAACTATATTTTTTTACTGTGCAATCCCAGATTTTAACTTAACTGAGCTCATTCTGTTCAGTGGGGCTTACTTTTAAGCAAGAGGGCATAGGGTTGCAGGCTTGGAGAAGAACTGCCCGTCTTCGGTTCCTGATGAACTGAAGCTTTTGGCAGTGACTCTTTTTAGTGCAATCAGATTGCAGTGAGCATCACGGTGATTTTTTTATACAAATGTAGGTGAAGTGCCTGGGAATAGCATGGTATGTGAGAGGAAAATAGGTGTGTGGCAGGGTAGAGATCTGTAAGCTGCTTTGCATCTGGAAGAAACACCTCACTGTGACCACAGGGCAACCCATATTCACCCCACCCCAAATGCACAAGCTTTGGGTTACATGCTTTGCTTTTTATTTGCAGCATTATTGGAGGGATTTACTCCACTAGTAGAAAGACTTGGATTTGATGAAAATTTTGTGGATATAACTGAGATGGTAGAGTCGAGGCTGGAGCAAGGGAAGAAAGAAGACTTTTCTAAAATTTCTGTCTCTGGTCATGTATATAATAATCAGAGTAAGTACCTTTTCTGCCAAAATGTCAAACTGGCAAACTGAATTGCATAAGATGGCTTGTCGGTGTTAATTTCATTGTATAGCGCAGTGGCTCCCAACCTTGCTTTGTACCCCTGCTGGGTTGCATAGATGTATAGTCTAACTCAGTGGTTCCCAACCTTGGGTAGCACAAGTGTTCTCAGACTACAACTCCCAGAAGCCTTCACCACTAGCTGTGCTGGTCCAGGGTTTCTGGGATTTGCAGTCCAAGAACACCTGGGTTGCCCAAGATTGGGGACCAGTGATACAGAGCATTCATCTTCAAAGTGAAATTATTTACCATATTTTTCCATGTATAAAACGATACTTTTGTCTAAAATCTTTAAACTAAAAATTGAGGGTCGTCTTATACATGGAAGTAAGCTGAGGAGAGAACAAACACAAGTGGAGGGGAAAGCAGGGATCAAAGTGATCCTGCAGGGCTTTGATCCCTGCTTTCCTCTCAACTTGCTAAGCCTTAGCAAAAGGAAAGCAGGGATCAAAGCGATGCAGGATGGCTTTGATCTCTGCTTTCCCTTCTGCTTACTAAGTCCCATGGGGCTTAGCAAAAGGAGGGGGTAAAGGATCAATGCAATCCCATGGCTGCATAAAGGGAAAAGGGATCAAAATGATTGTGCAGTGGCAGGATTGCTTTAATCCCTTTCCCCTTCCTTTTTCTAACCCATGGGGCTTAGCATGAAAGGAAAAAGCAGGGATCAAAGTGATCCTGCAGTGCTTTGATCCCTTCCCCCCTACACTTGCTAAGCCCCACTTAGATTTCTTAATTTTGGGTTAGAAAAGTGGGGGGCGTTTTATACATGGAAGCATCTTATACACAGAAAAATACGGTAAGCGTTAGTAGGTGCCCTGTTTTTTGTTGTTGTTGTTTTAAGAGCACTCACACCACCACCACATGATGAAAGCACACCTTTTTGTGCAATGGTGTTCATCAGTACCCTTAAACACAATAGCACCGTCTTCCTCCATTCCCAGGCTGTTTTTATAATCCAGGAGGATCAAGGTGTCCAATCAAATGGCCCTTTAAAATGGGTTGTTTTCCAAGCCATCAAATAGAGACTCAGACTAAGTCTTCTGGCTCGTGTACAAGTCCTCTTGTACTGTATTGTAAGGTTTTTACTGTGTGCTAATCAAGGGTGGCACGTCTGTTAAAATGCAACTTTTCATGACTGTTTGCTTCACAGTGGTCCGTATGTATGATCCGATCCATGTACGATTAGCTGTGGGATCTCAGATTGCTGCAGAGATGAGAGAAGCCATGTTCCATAGTCTGGGCCTTACTGCCTGCGCAGGCGTGGCCCTGAATAAGTTACTCTCCAAGTTGGTGTCCGGAACCTTTAAGCCAAACCAGCAAACGGTCCTTTTGCCCGAGAGCCGCCAGGACCTGATGGCCAGTCTTGACCACATAAGAAAAGTGCCTGGTAAGGTGGGGGGAAGGTTCTTCCGCCTTGGTATGGGGGACATTGCTCTATAGCACTGAGATCTGAACAAGGAACTCTAGATGGCCCGAGCGCTTGTTTTATCGATATATAATCTATTTCCAGATTAATTTCCCTCTTTTAGGTAAGTCAAAACAAGGTGCACGGTGGGCATGCATCTTGGATTGAAAGAGATTTAGCATCTCCTAGAGTGCTGTTCTTTATGGTTCAAAACCTCCCAAAATGGTGTGGGTGGGGTGGGGGTGGCCACAAAAATGGAGGAGGTTTTGTGCACCCACAAGTGTTGTAAGAGAAGGGGCAGTGGGGAGAAGAACTTTGCCCTGTGTTCTGTCTACCTACTGGTCATCCCCCTCTCTTGTAGCTCACATGGACAACTGAATACCTATTAGGTTTGAAACAAAACCTGAAACAAAAAATGAAGAATTTTAAAGATACTGTTTTGTGCATAGGCCAGAGACTCCCTCGGGATGTACGTAAATGAAACTTAATAAATTAGGAGGTACAGTGGTGCCTCGCAAGACGAGCGCTCCGTTTTACGACAAAATCGCATTACGACGAAGTTTTTGCAATCGCAAAAGCGATCGCAAAACGATGTTTCCTATGGGGGAATTTTGCTTTGCGATGATCGGTTCCGTGCTTTGGGAACCGATTCTCGCAAAACAACGATTTTTGGCCAGCTGATCGGCAGTTTCAAAATGGCCGCTGGGTAAAAAAAAATGGCTCCCCTCCATTCTGGGATGGATTCCTCACTGCACGGGCAGCGAAAATGGCCGCGCTATGGAGGATCTTTGCTGGACGGTGAGTTTCAAGCCCATAGGAATGCATTAATTGGGTTTTAATGCGTTTCTATGGGCTTTTAAATTTTGCTTTACGATGTTTTCGTTTTACAGCGATTTCGCTGGAATGAATTAACATCGTAATGCGAGGCACCACTGTAATGAGTTCAGAACAGAAAATATTCTAAGTATGGAGAAGTGAACAAGGTTTGGAAGGAGAATGCATAATAACAGATTAAAACAAAAGCCCTCTTTTTCTTTCCCTTGGAAGACTATAGCTCATGGATGAGAGCACATTATTTGTATGCAGGAGCCTCTAGGGTAAATCCTTAGTACTGTATCATTCTAATTCAGCCCTAACCACTGCACTGCGCTATCACATTGGAAAGATTCAGATGTAGAGCACTATTCATATTGCCCATTCATTTTCCTCTGTAGGTATCGGTTTTAAAACTGCAAAGCGCCTCGAGATGCTTGGCCTACGGACGGTGTGTGATCTCCAGATGTGTTCCTCTGTGAGGCTAGAAAGAGAGCTGGGCGTTTTGGCTGCACAGCATATTCAGAAGCTCAGTTGGGGAGAAGATAACTCCCCAGTCACCCCATCGGGCGCCCCTCAGGTATCAGTGTGAAAAACATGGTTATTCAAGTCTCTTAGAACATGGGGACATTGTTTTTTTAAGACTACAACTCCCAGAATCCTGCAGCTGGCGAAGCTACTGCCCCTACTGGGCTGCAAGTTTCCTGGGAACTTCTAACTCCAAAGAAGTTACTTTCCCAGTCTGTGCATTCTTCATCTCTCGCCGAATGCTTTCCTGACATTGTTTCACAGCTCTGTATGACTATGACCTTTCCACAGTGCGATACTATGCAGAGACCAGAATCTTATTGGGATTCTACTCCAGAGTAAGTGAAATTTAGCAAGTTGTGGCAGACAGCTGCAGCCAATAAATCAGGCACCTGGGTGTGTGCCAGGTTGTGTGTCTGATTCCTTTCCAGTGTCATGACCAGCCTTTGAGTCACACCCTTTATGACTAGGGAGTGGAACCAATTTTGTTGGCATTCATCCCATAGGGAGAGTGTTCCATGCAAACATGTACCCATATGGGACGCATGCAGATTTGTGCAGTAAGTACATTTCATCCTCCACATGGCCCTTGATAACAGCAATGGACATTTTGATCATGTTTGAGAAAAGACAGGTGAGTCATCAGAAAAAAACTTGACCTTTGAACAAGCCAGCAGAACACTTGAAAGGCATTCAAAATTCATATTTTATGGGGAACACGGTCTGAAGTTTCAGAAAAGTAGTTTCTTTCCTGGTTGGACAGTAAAATCAGTTAGTGAGGGCTTGTAGAACGATGATTTCCATACTCCTGTATGAGTTTTGTGTTTAGTTGTGCCCTTAGTAATCATCTTCATTTTATTTTTAAAATATTTTCTAGTCCCTAAGTGATGAGGATTCATTCAAGAAGTGCTCTTCCGAAGCAGAGGTGAAAAAGAAAGTTGAAGGACTCCTTGCCAGTCTTTTAGAGAGGTGACTATAGTTTTGGATCTCAATTACTGTATGTATGTAGTTGGAACAAAATACATGAAGTCTGAAAGTCTTTGGCTGGAATTGTCTTTGTGGATTTTTTTACCAGGGTACTTGTAACTACATCAATCATAGAGGTGAATGGTCACTAATAAATGGGGTGCTGCTTGAAAAGGGATTTGCTCACCTGCTCAGAGGCTTGGAGCTGTATTGATGGTAGTCTCCCTCTCCTCCTCCCCTTCCTCCAGACTGTGTCTCTCCCATGTCATATCCTTCCCCCCGTTTCCCCCTCTCACTTTCTCATGCTCCTCTAGCATAGACTCTCAACCTGCAGGGATTGTGCTGTGCCTCCTCTGTGCAACAAGGGCAGAGAGAATGTGAGGCCAGGTAGCTCTGTACAAGGGCAGAGAGAATGTGAGGCCAGGTACGGCCTGCATCTGTTCCCCATCTGGCCTGCTGTCTCCTACTGTTATTGCAGCTCCATGTTCAGAGATAAGAGGGTATTGATAAGGTTGCTGTATTTGTATCATCTGGAAAGCAGTGGCTTGGAACTGTACTTTGCCTTGTAGCTCAGAAAATGTCTGTACCAGGGCATGTTTCTGAGTGTGTAGAACTGAACTGTGCTTTCCGAGACTGGGGGGCGTTGAATGCCAGCTGGGTAAGAATTTCATTTAACCTCATCCATTTTGATTCAACCCTGACCTCTGCTAGAATGTGGCCCCTTGGATGCTTCTCAAATTGGAATTTAGCCTCCATGGTTGAAAAGGGGCCCTCTTCCCTCCCCCTCTACAAAGTTGACTTGCAGGGGGAGACAACCTGGTCACCTCTGCATGTTGTGAACTGCTAGGTGCCGTAATCCATGATCATTGGTCATGCTGGCAGGATCTTATGGGAGGGGTAGCCCTAAATATCTATTTAGGCACCATTTTGCCTATTCTTTCAATAGTTTAACAGACAGGAAGTCATCAGCTTGAATCTTGGTGGAGAAGCTATTTCTCAGCTCCTCCCAGGCCAAACTGCACATAAAATTATTAAAAGTGTTCTGACTTCAAATACTTAGAAATAGACCAGATTGCTTTCTGTTTTGGAGAAAAGAACCACTGAGTAGGGGCTGTGATCTGTGACCTCTGGGGTCATGCCACAGAGGGAGCTGTCAAACCTGCTGTTTGCCCCTGAAATACCCAGTTTTATGGGTCAATGTGGTTTTCAGCAGGGGGAAACCTGGCGTGCTCTGGTCCATAGGGTCAATGAAGAGTTGGACACAATTTAACGACTTAACAACAACACATGCCTAATGGAAATGATGATGATTTTCGGGGGGGCGGTTGTAGCTCGTATGCAATGCATTGAAATTGTGTGCATTCTAAAATCGTTAAAAGTAAGTGCTTAATCGATGATGATTTGCTACTGATGACGATGATGGCATCATTCCGGTTGTGCATACAGAGTTGGGATGTGGTTTTCAGCAGGGGGAAACCTGGCGTGCTCTGGTCCATAGGGTCAATGAAGAGTTGGACACAATTTAACGACTTAACAACAACACATGCCTAATGGAAATGATGATGATTTTCGGGGGGGCGGTTGTAGCTCGTATGCAATGCATTGAAATTGTGTGCATTCTAAAATCGTTAAAAGTAAGTGCTTAATCGATGATGATTTGCTACTGATGACGATGATGGCATCATTCCGGTTGTGCATACAGAGTTGGGCAATGGGACTTCAGCTATTGTTTCCAAGCCCTGATAATACATCTGTCTTTCCTGACCCACATCAAATTAGACTGTTTGCAAAATGGTGGTCAAGTTGACCTTTCCCTTCTTTTTTCACCAGATTACACAAGGATGGTAGAAAGCCACATACAATAAGACTGACCATTCGGCAGTTCACTCCTAGCCTTACAGACAAATGGTTCAATCGGGAGAGCCGTCAGTGCCTTATTCCATCTCATGTGATCCAGAAGATTGGAACAGGTAACCAGTTGCTCTTTGAGGCACCTTTGTTTAGATGTGTGGAGTTCATCACTGAGCTTACAGATGGTAGACTGGGAAGCCTCATTCTTGGTCTTCCACGAGTAGTGTGCCCATTAGGGACAGGGTTTTCTGGACTACATATACCACAGTTCCCTATTCTGGGAGTGCCTGACAAACGCCTGACTGTGATGAATTAGGGAGAGGGCCTAAATTAGAAGGCTTTGAGGCTTAGCTAGGCCAAGCTCCACCCAGGCATCCTGTTTCTGGCCCAGGGGTAGCTGAGCGTTTTCTGTAAACGGGAACCTTAGGCAGAGCGTGGCCTAGCTGAGCCTCAGAGCCTTCTGATTTAGGCCTTTTCCCCAGGTAGTATCATCTTGAAGAGTTTGTCAGGTGCCTGCAAGGCAGGTAGTACTCCCAAAATGGATACTACCAAAACGGCGTTTATAATCCAGAAAATCTGAAAATCCCACCCCTAGTACAAACAATGAATTCAGGAAATGGCCTAAATTAGAAGGCTTAGCTAGGCCAAGCTCCACCCAGGCATCCTGTTTCTGGCCCAGGGGTAGCTGAGGGTTTTCTGTAAACAGGAACCTTAGGCAGAGCATGGCCGAGCTGAGCCTCAGAGCCTCCTGATTTAGGCCTTTTCCCTGGGTAGTATCATATTGAAGAGTTTGTCAGGTGCCTGCAAGGCAGGTAGAACTCCCAAAATGGATACTACCAAAATGGCGTTTATAATCCAGAAAATCTGAAAATCCCACCCCTAGTACAAACATATCTTTTGGTACTTGGTACGACAGCACCCAGAATCCTCAATTCCGCCTCTCCAAGGTCTCACATCCTGAAGACCGAACGAAGGAAATTCTGGCCTTAATTCCCTCTCCCTTCTGCCGCTTTTCTTCAAAACTTGCTCCCAGCCCCACTTTTCAGGCCATTACATGCAACCATGTTCTTCCTTTGGCTTCTTGCAGCTATAGAATTACTGTAACTACATCCCACCATCTTCCTCATTCCCTATTAACTTTAAATATTTGTGCCCAGGTGATGCCAGTGTCAAGACTCACCTTGTTGCCATCCTTATGAAACTCTTCCGTAAGATGATCAATGTGAATGCTCCATTCCATCTGACGCTTCTGAATGTCTGCTTCTCCAACCTCAAAGCCCCTCCTGCGTCCGCCAAGCAGTCTATTGGGTTTTATTTAACACGGCCTTCCTCATCTTCTTCCATCAGTGGCAAACTTGTTAATGTAAGTTCAGAATGTGTTTATTTGTTTCAGAGACAGAAAAAAAAAAGCAAAGTGTGCTGCTTATATAATGCCCCATAGCGCTTAAAGCACTCTCTGGGTGGTTTACAAGTTAATTATGCAGGCTACACATTGCCCCCCCACTCCAGCAAGCTGGATACTCATTTTACCAACCTCAGAAGGATAGAAGGCTGAGTCAGCCTTAAGCCGGCTACCTGGGATTGAACCCCGGGTCGTGAGCAGAGTTTTCACCACAGTACAGCAGTTTAACTACTGGCACTCCATACAGCTTTTGGCAGTTGCTTTTAGTTAGTGGATTCAAGTAAAACACATTAAAAGGCCACCTGTTAAAATCCACAAAGGAATTCCAGTTCTATCCATTAATATTAAATATACGAGTACTAGACTAGATTCAGGATTAGCCTCTTTGCTAGGCTATTGGTATATCAGTAAAATGTGCATATATGGTGCAAGAAGGCGAGTAACAGTCTTCATGGCCCAGGAATTATTGTAGATAATGAAAGTGTGTGGACTAACAACTTGTGTAGACTGTTAAAACTGATTATGGAAAAGTAGCTTCTGTGGATTTATTTGCAATATAGTTTTATAGTAGTGCTATATGAAGAAGCAGTAACTTCAGCACAGAACCAACTACTTGCCATGATTCCAGTTGATTGAAAGATGGCTGTTACATCTTTTGATTATGAATGAAATACTATAATACTCTTTTTGCAGAAAACAGAAAGTTGGAATGCTGAAGAACACCCCACTCTGGAAAGTCAGACTTGTGATGGTGAAGCTTCATCAGGAGTGAGAAGCACAGGAATAATAAAATCTCCCTTGGAGAGACCTGGACTCCTGAAAGATACTGATGTTCTTGGAGACCCAGTTCTTGCTGGTGTAGACTATGATGTATTTAGTCAGCTTCCCAAGGATATCCAGGAGGAAATTATATCTGACCACAAGGAGGTGAAAGATCACAGAAGACCTCTTGGGACCCAGACATTTTCTCTTGGGAGGGAAGAACTGTTGGATGAAGCACAACACCGAAGAAGCCACACTCCTCTTCAAGCTGGAAGCACCCATCGAAACGTAAACACCTCGGTGTCTTGTGGCATTGCACCTACCAATGAGGAGCCCTCTTTGGCAATATGTGATTGTGCTGTCAAGCATCCTAGTCCTCAACACAGTGCCATTGAAGCGGCTGGAATTACAGAAGACTATACCGGACCTGCTGGGGGATCACCTTCATTTCCATCTCGGCCCTCTCTTCCTCAGACTTGTATTCCAGAAGAGCAGAAACACCCAAATGGAGAAGTCTCCCATTACGGAATTTGGAAAGATGGTCCAAAATTGGCCCTTCCTCCTAGCGTTGATCCCAAAACATTTTCCGAGCTGCCCTCAGAGGTGCAGAAGGAACTGTTGGCGGAATGGAAGGGCCAGGCGCTTGTCCCCAAAATGCATGCCAGCAAAACCCACGGCAAGCCCAAAATGAAAAAGAAAAGTGAGCCACCTTTGCCTCCACCATCTAACAGCTTATTAAGATATTTTAAGCCAAGATGATTATCATCTAACCAGGTGAGCAAGGTGTTGCTCTTCAGATGCCTTTGGACTGCAACACCCCTCAACCTTAGATAGTACAGGGGGTAAGGAATGTTGGAAGTTGTAGTCCAACATCTGGAGGGCCGCCCTTGGGCCACCTGCCATAAACACTTGGCACAGTGTAGATGTAACATCTCGGATGGCAGGTGAGGAGAAGGACCACGTTCTTTTTTTAGTACATCCCAATGATAAAAATAAGCAAACATACCTTGTAGAGATAACAGTCCTCTTTGTAAGACAGGTGTTAGCCAATCTCTCGCTCTCCATCCCCACCCCCGATCTGTATTTTTCTGTATGGCAGGTGTTTTCTTTTTCCTTCCTTCCTTTTTTTAAGTGTGGGACCATTCAGAAACACTGCCGCCACCCTGTTGTTTGAACTGATACAACCCAGGATAACTGAGTTCTGCATTTTGCTGTTCTGTAGCTGAGCTCCTGGAATGCTTTCTGCTTTCAAAAGATAAATGTATTAAAATTAAGAATGGAGGGGTGATGCATGAGGGATTGACTGGTTTTTGAGACCTGTGGAAAAAACAAGCAGTGATCCGATTGTGGAAGAAGAGTGCATAATGATTTGTGTGCAGCAGAGATGGGTGTCTCTTAGTATGTTGTGAAGAGCTGCCCTTCAGAGTTGACACTCTAATCACTTCCCTTGGTGGTTGAGCCTCCGAGTTCACACATACACTTGGCTGTCTTCTGTTTACATCCTGACTTACAATAATGGCCAAAAATATTGACACCCTTGCAATTCTGTCAGAAAATGCAACCCTTCTCTCAGAAAATTGTTGCAGTTGCAAATGTTTTGTTACTCACACGTTCACTTCTTTGGTTTGTGTTGGAACAACACAAGAAAAAGAAAACCAGAGAAGAAAAGTCAAATCTGATACAATTCCACACAGAAACCCCAAAAATGCACTGGCCAAAATTATTGGCACCCTTAACTTAATATTTGGCCACACCCCCTTTGGAAAAAATAACTGAAATCAGTCGCTTCCTGTAACCATGAATGAGTTTCATATGCCTCTCTACTGGAATTTTTGACCACTCTTCTTTTGCAAACTGCTCCAGGGTCTTCAGATTTGAAGGATGCCTTCTCCCAACTGCTGTTTTGGGATCTCTCCACAGGTGTTCTGTGGGATCCAGATCTGGACTCGCTGCTAGCCATTTCAGAACTCTCCAGCGTTTTGTTTGTAACCATTTCTGAGTGTGTTTCGGGTCATTGTCCTGCTGGAAGACCCATGACGTCTGGTGGAGACGCCGCTTTCTGACACCGGCCACTACCTTACACCTCAAAATTATTCAGTAATCATCAGATTTCATGATACTGTTCACACAGTCAAGGCATCCAGTGCCAGAAGCAGCAAAGCAACCCCAAAACATCTTTGAACCTCCACCATGTTTGACTGTAGGGACTGTGTTCTTTTCTTTGAATGCCTCATTTCTTTTTCTGTAAACAGTGCTATGATGTCCTTGACCAAAAAGCTCTACTTTTTGCTCATCTGTCCACAGTACGTTCTCCCAGAAGGATTGTGGTTTAGTCACATAAGTTTTGGCATACTCGTCTTGCTTTTCTATGCCTTTGTGTCAGCAGTGGTGTCCTGGGTCTCCTACCATAGCATCCCTTTTCATTCAGATGGCGATGGATAGTGCGAGCTGACACTGTTGTACCCTGTATCTGCAGATCGTCTTGAATTTGTTTGGAAGTTAATCCATTTGAACAACCCTTTGTTGTAATTTTTCAGTAATTTTGCTCTTCTGTCCACGTCCAGGAAAGTTAGCTACAGTGCCTTGGGCTGTAAACCTCTTGATGATATTGTGCACGGTGGACACAGGAACATTAAGATCTCTGGAGATGGACTTATAGCCTTGAGATTGTTGATGTTTTTCCACAATTTTTTCTCTCAAATCCACAGACAACTTTTTACACTTCATTCTTTTCTGAGTCAACTTTTCTCCATCTTAACTGGTTGCAAGTGTGATTGCTATATTGCCCATACCTCTTACTTGCAACAGATCTGTCTAAATACAAATTAAAGGAACATCACATGCTTGAAAAACCATTATTTCTTACAATTTAGACAGGGTGCCAATAATTTTGGCCAGTGCATTTTTAGGTTTCAGTGTGGGATTGTATCAGATTTGACTTTTCTTCTCTGTTTTTTTGTGTTGTTCCAACGCAAACCAAAGAAATGAACATGTGAGTACCAAAACATTTGCAACTGGAACAATTTTTTGAGAGAAGTTTTGCATTTTCTGACAGAATTGCAAGGGTGCCAATAGTATTGGCCATGACTGTATGTTGTTCTGAGTCAAAAGGTAGGCTGGCTGCCTATGGGTGTCTAAGAGAAGAATGGCATGTAGTGTGGCCTTTGCTCTCACAAAAGGTGAGCATTTCCTGCCCCATAGGTGAGTATGTGAACAGGGAACATTCTGAATGCAGTCCTATTCAAAGTTTGGAAAAGTAACTCATTTGCACTACTAATCCTACAATCTCCAGGCAAGGGGATTCCGAGGCTTGTGCTACAAAATGTAACTTTTCCAGACTATGGTCATAAGCATGACACGCAAAGAACGACAATTCAGTTGCCATCTTTAAAGCGGATGTTGTTTATATTATGAACCAGGAACCCTAGTTATGTTAAACTCAAGAAAATATGCTCCTTGCCATGTGAAATAGTCATAAATTCATACAGTAAGTAAAGCGCTTCTCCCCACTAGAATGACAAGTAGGCTTAGGTGTTCGTTGTGAAATTAATTTTTGGTCCTTAAAAGTTCTCCAGATTAGGGAGAAATGTTGGATGCCATTGTTCCCTGCTGCGTTTTATTCTTAGTAAATGCTATGATCACCAGAGATGTGTCTGCTCTGTTATAATGAGAAATGCCACCCTTTCCCAGGATGATGGTTAGCTGTTATTCTCAAGCAGCCTCTTCGTTCTCCTCTCTCACAAATTTCTGTCTTACTCATGAGCTGTAAGGAGGGCTTTGCTCTCTGACTGCACACGGGGAAGCACTGTAGATCTTCAAATATATACCACACAGGAGCAGAACATGGGGTTTTGCACTTGATAAAACATGGCACATGGTTAATACCTCCACTTCCAAGTGTAAGTATTTAGGGGGGATAATAATAAACATAAGGAATTGAAATACACTGGATCAAGTTGTGTTACAACAAACAGCCCTCCATATGATGATCCCTGTGTCCTGGCAGTAACTCTGACACAGTCTTCAGAACAGGGGGTGGTCCGCCTAGGCTAGTCTGAGGTTTCTGCCATCGGGATCCCCCAAGAATGGCAACAACCTTCAGAACATGGCCAAAGAGCCCGAAAAACCCACAACAACCAATGGCACAGACTATCAAAAAATATTTTTAAAAAAGAAAAGAAATAGGAATTGGGAGTTATGGTTGAAAAAGTCAGTTTCCCAAATTCTCTACCTCTGAACAATGTTCACAGCATTTGTCCAGCCACGTCTGAAGACACAAGACTGAGCAAGATGAACCTTCAGTTGGACATACCCTGGCAAATCTAATATATCCTGTACCAAACTTCTTGAATATATTTCTTTCATTCCTCCTATGAAACCATATTTCAGTGACATCTGTGTGCTGCAAACAACCTTCTGTTTTCTGGTAGACTTTTATGGGAGTTTCCCCTTTAGTGCTTTAATTCCAGCTTTGCAGTCCGTAACTAAGTTTAGGAGGGTCGTTGGCATAACTGATTCTATCAGTGAGGGCATTAGCCTTCCTCCCAAGTCCACTTGAACGATTGCCACAAGTTTGCTGTGACCTGGATTCCTGAAAGAAAGAAAAAATGTATTTCACCAAGGAGAGCAATATGATGGCACACTTGTCCATTGAGATTTTCATTCATTCATTCATTCATTCATTCATTCATTCATTCATTCATTCATTCATTCATTCATTCATATGTTATTTATATCCAGTTTTTCTCCCCACAGTTTTCCCTTTTCCTGTGTGATACATAACAATAATCCTGTGCTGGTATTATTATTATTATTATTATTATTATTATTATTATTATTATTATTATTATTATTATTATTATTATTATTATTATTATTATTATTATTATTATTACTACTACTACT